TTTAAAAATGCAAGACACATTTTAACACAACAATGGCACCCGAGCTGGCAAGAGTGATTAGCATTACGGTCCTTTATCTGTGCTGAAAGCAGTCCCCAGTCTTATTGTAGAGTGGAGTAGTAAATGACTCTATATGCTTCTGTTTCTGTAGGACTTAAATCGCGTGTGATTGGCTCACACCTGGTTGACAGCTTTTCTGTCTGACCACTATGGTTGCAACAGTATGAGATTTTCACGGTACAATAACCTTCTCAGAAAATATCATGGATTCACGGTATGACATACAGTATGTACAAGTATTCATATTAGTATTATCAGTTACAACGACCTTTTGAAGGAACAAAAACAGAAGGGTTTTTTGGTTGAACAAACACTTTATTATAATTAAATCATATTGCTATTATTTTTGCAATTTTTCTCTGGAGCACAACAATACTTTAATTTATGATGATATGGTGCTCTTGATTTGGAGGATGTTTAGACCAGTTATTCAGCCCTACGTCCCGTTTTTTTTGTATTTTTTTAATGACCGTAGATAAACAATATATGATATTATATGATAATGCATGGTACACCATGAAACTGGTATCCTCTGCAACCCACCACCAGTGTCTGTTGCCCCTTTTGTCCTATATGTTGTGGTGTCTGTGTTCCAGATCTCAGCAATTACTTTCATTTTATGTAAATGTTATATTAACTATTAGAAATAATGACCTGATCTGCACAAAATAAAGCCCAACTTGTAATAAACCATAGTTTTCATTTCATATAGTGCTGTATTGGTGTTTAGCAGCCTTCAGGTGAATGTTATAAATGTGTCATTGTACATGTAAGGCAGTTACATGCAGACTCACTTCAGCCTCACTGGATACAGGTCATTGGTGTTTGGCCAGTTACTGCTTTAGCGGCTTGATCACATTACAGCCCTATATTCGCTATTTGGCTGTAACTTGATCTGTCTAAGAGGCCTTTTTAATTTTAGATTTGCCTGGGACAAATTGTAGGGATAGACTAACTGCTGGGCTGCTATTGGATGGACTGTTTTATCAGTGTTCTGTTATCGAGTGAATGAACTAAAATCATCCACACCAGCTGTTTTTCTTTAGTAAAAAGCAATTCTAATAAACGGTTCACAACAAGGTGTTATGTGAGTAACCGGGACATTTGTTTACAATGGTGTGAGCACCACAAATTAAATTCCATTCACCTCTATTGTTTTAGGTATCATTTTAGACAAAACTATCTGCATTGCTAGATAATATTATATATTGGAAATGTTTTTTTCCTTTTATAATTTGGGTGGACTGACCATTTTTAAACTTTTCTTCATTCTCTAACCCCAACCCTGATAGGCATGGACAGTCGCCGTCAGTTTTTGCAAAATTAGCTACTTCCAGATGCTAATTTAATGCAGATTGCAGATGTATGTTAATGTGACACTGATGATGTAGTAATCAGTTAAGGAAGGCACAAAATACTGACCTTTGTGAGGAAGGATCAAACAATTTTAGTTTCTCCATAATTGAGCCTTGATATCATGCATTGCTCAGTTAATAGGCAACGGAATGTGCTGTAGCTGCTTAGTAGTGCTGAATATCTCACCAGGCAGCTCAGACTTATTAAAACAGTCATTACTCTTGTCAAATGGAGACTTTGTTAAGTCACTTGTAGCTGACCTGTTCACATATCTTTGAAAAGAAAGCCTGCAATTATCATCCATTAACTATAGCACCTGTTGAGACAGCTTTTATATCTGTAGCACAAAATCAAATTAGGCAGTTGATCTGTGATAACTGCTTTTTGAACACTTTTATGTTTTGAACATAAAAGCTATGCCAGCATCATTATAGGACTGTATATTTTAGTTGTGAAGTATCTGTTAACAAAAAATGTAAAAAATTCCAGACTTCTTTTTTCCACTGCCTTTTAATAAATCTAATGGAAGGATTTTGATTAATATCTTACACTGCCCTGTAACCTTTCCTGTCCTGTTTTATGTGTTAACACTTTTTTATAACTTTGTAACTTTTTATGTTGCCCTATGTTGCTTTTATGTAAAGCACTTTGAATTGCCTTATTATTGTACTATATAAAGAGAGAGAGAGTTCAGTGACACAAAGTTGATCAATATATTTCTGTATAGAGCAATGGATGGATGCATGAAAGCTGAAAGATTGTAAGAGAGAATGAGAAGTAAGTGTGTGTGATGTATTAATCAAGCATAGCATTAGTTCAGGCAGGCAACAAAGTCGAGCTCCGCTCATTCCTGCATGTCAGCGATAGCAGCCGTATTCAGCAGCACATCAGCTGACAGCTCAGCTCATTCCCCTCTTAGCATTCATTGTCAAATTCCAGACAAGGTGCCTATTTAAGCTGCCGTAGCCTTCCTGCCTGTCCTCGCTGTTTCCTATGTAAAGCTCATAACCCACCGCCACCCCAGCTCCACCTTTCAGGCTGTATCTGATAGGGATGCACAATAAATATCAATCGGATAAGTACTGGTCGATCGGCCATATCTCATTGTTGGAAGCATATCGGGGAATTAATTTGGCCGAATAGAATCAAACATGCTAACATGCGCTGCCGCGCTCTGGGCGAAATGTCGCTGTGCGCAGATAGAGCCACTCAGATTCAGTGCAGGTAACAATGTGCAGATTGAAGCTACATGGTAATCTAAGCTAACAGTTAGACTACAGAAAGCTTTCATGTAGCTCGTTGTACATCTAGCTTTGCCAAGCTAGCGTTGTTGCGGTGTGCTTTTAATAAAAGGATGAGAGACGTGGACAGAGCGGATCAATTAACCCCTTCTACATGTTATGCTTGTTAATGGATGTATCGACAAGTTGTCTTTTACTCTTGAGATTTTGTTGCACATACTGCAGTGGCTTGAAGTTACCTTCACTTCAACGTGCTCTCTGCGCTTGCCACTGTTCGTGCGTGTGAGCCCACGTGTGTGTTCATGTGCGGGAGGTGACACAGAGCAGCAGAGGCTGCATCTTGATAATAAAAAGTATGGTCTTCAACCCCAGGCCCGTTTAACACCATGCTTCAGTGCCCATCTAGTATCTGATTAAACATGTAAATTGCATGCCTGCTCTGTTTTTTACGGTGGTTCTTTACTGCTGCTCTCTGCCTCGAGCTTTCCATGTATGCACATGGATGGGCAGGGAGGTGCTCTCCCTACCTTATGGCTTTTCCACGTAGGCGCGTGGATGGGCAGGGAGATCCCAGAACTGAGCCATACCGCCAAATATAAATCCGCAATATCAGTCTTTGATGTAAGTTGTCCTGACTGAACTCATGTTGTGGGGGCATAAATCAGTCTCTGTAACTCTGACTCTTTGGGGACATCTTCTTCACACCATTAGTATAGTTCCTAAGAAGTCTAAAGTCAGGCTTGAATTGATTATCATTTTGTCTGTGTAATTGATTGAGATAAAGCCACACAGATTGGGTGTGTGTGTGCACACTCCAGTGCTCACTCTAGACAGCATTGACTTCACCATATCCAAAACTAAAGTTAAAGAAACCTAAATTAAAGAAAGCTGTCATTTACAATAACAACAATGCATGATCTGTTACTGCTGTCCATTACAGTCTGGTGAAAATGCAGTTTACTAGGGCTGGGCGATATGGCCAAAAATGTTATCACGATAAAAACATTTCATATCATTCGATATTTATAATTATCACGATAAATGTTGTCACATAATTTATTGTTTCTTTCAAGTTTAAAGGCTGATTTGAGCTCTTGAGTGAAAATTAAAGAAACCAGATGGTTAATTGTGTGGTTAAACTACTCCTTATGGTTAGAATGTAACAAACACTTGATGCCAACCAGTGGATCACTTCACAAATTTGAGGTAGAACATTCAAAACGATTATGAGAAAATCTTTTTTTCAAAAAATGATACGTAAATCTTAAATGATCCGCAAATGTGCAAAAACTGTTTTGTGTGTAAAGATAGATCCACAAATGCATAAACAGCACTTTGTATGTGAAATTAAAATATGTGCGTAGAGAGTAAATTGTACATATTTGCAAATTGCACTGTATTTTTGTGGATATGATTTTACACAACACAAATGTAAAAATACATGTTTTGGGTAGTGAGATATTTGTATTTTTTTTTTTTTTTTTTTTTTTACAGATCTCCGCAGTACACATTGGACAAAATTTCACAAATGTGTAAAAATGAAGTTACAAATGTAACATGACCCACAAATTGGCAGAAAGCAATCTGCAAATGTGCAATAATTGTTTTGTGTGTAGAAGTCTCTGTATTTTTGTGGATATGATTTTACACATCACAAATGTAAAAATACACATTTGTAGAGAGTGAAATATTTGCGCATCATAGTACACATTTGTGGATTGTTTTCTGTGGGTTACAAATATTAAAGTTCAATAAAATCTTCCATAGAGGTGAACATGAATGTGTGCACCAAATGTCATGGGAATTTATCCTAGGTGTTATGAAATTTCACTATAAACCACTAACGTGAACCTGGTGGTGTAAGAGGCGATATCTAAGGATCACCAAAGTCGTCCTCTAGGGACCGTAATATATAAAAAAATATATAAAATTTCATGGCAATCTATCCAATAATTGTTGAGATATTTCAGTCTGGACCAAAGTTTTGGATGTATGGGTTCTTAAAACCAAGCTGCTATCATGGCTAAGTGGTTGGAACAGAAACTGCAAGCAAACAAAAGAGTATAAATTACACCTGTCTGTGTTTTTGTTGTCTTTGATATATGTCGAAAACCTGGTTACCCCATAACTTTCCTGTGCCAGTGCTTCCTTTTATACATAATTTGAGTGGTGGCTGTGAAAGTAGCAATTGCAAAAATTGTGAGATGTTGGCCCACTGAGTGTTTTCTTCTTTTAGTAATATTAAAAGCTGCTGCAATTATATGAATTCAGACACCTACCTGTTTCCCATCATGTTCAAGCTAATAACTAACTCATCCAAACCGCTTCTCGTTGTTTTTACAGTTGATAGGCGGCTTTATGCTGGTCATTGGGATCTACGCTGAGGTGGAGAGACAGCGCTACAAGACCCTGGATGGAATGTTTTTGGCCCCGGCTGTAATCTTGATCATTCTGGGAATCATCATGTTTATTGTTTCATTCATTGGAGTCTTGGCTGCCCTGCGAGATAATCTAACACTGCTTAAAGTGGTGAGTGGTGTGCTGAGAGCCGAGTAATGTATCTTTTTTTTTAAACAAAAAAAGTGGTGCTAGTAATTTTTGTGTCTGTGAATTAGTGTGTAAATGTTTTATTTATTTATTTATTTATTTATTTCCATATTTATTTATTTATTATTAATTTATAAGAGTGTGTGGTATAAATGATAGATGACACACAGGTAAACATATGAACCATGATATGAATTTTTCTGTACCGTATGTACATTTACAGTTGCAGGAAAAAGTGTGTGAACCCTTTGGAATTACCTGGGTTTCTGCATAAATTGGTTGTAAATGTGATCAGGGCCCGTATTCCTCAAGCTTCTCAGAATTACTCATAAGAACACTGCTAAGAACTTTTCTTATTCTTGGCTCAAAGCTGCACTTAAAAGTTAGTTATCAAGCATCCCACTCCTAATTTAAGTGAAGTGTAGGACTAAATCTTAAGTGTCAGTCTTAGAGCTGATTCACAAGACTTTGCTATGAAACAGGATTTTGGATGACTATGTAGGCAAGGACCAATCACTTAATAGATTTCCTTATTTAAGAAAACTATCACATAAATTCACATTGAATGGTGTAATTCGTAAGAGGACTTTACTTTCAACACGTATTTGACAATAAAGAATTTTCAAAAGAATACATTATGATCATACATACATACATACATACATACATTATGAAAAAAGTTTATCTTTATATGAGTGCCATTAATTGTGCCTATTACTCCTGGGAAGCCAGCTATTTTCAAGAACTATGTTTGCTTCTGTTGGATTTTGAGGGATGTTGTGACAGTGTGTGGAGCTGTAAGTGTCATAATTGTTTCCATGACAATTTGGCTTATTGAAGGTTGCAATGTCCTGAAATCATTGGCATTGCATTGCTGCATTTGATCTGTGGCAAAGAAACGAAGTATCATCACCACCTTCAATTCAGCTGAAAACGCATTGCTGCGTAAAGTCCGTGGTTAGATGACGTCCCTCACCAACTCGCTGACAAGGATGGTGCCTGCTCTGTCCAAACGATACTGTATAATTAAACGCGCAAATAATTCAGAAATATTATTCCTCTCCTGAAAGATTTGTGCATGTCTCTGTCTCCACAGTGCCATCACATGCCCCTACTGGCAACTCTTAACCACTTGAGAGACCTCTGGAGCTGTCTTAAATAACTGGGAGAGTAAGAGTAATTCTTAACTTTTAGGAATTAATTAATTAATTAACTTGCTTTTATACATAAGTTTGAAAGTAGAAGTACATTTCATGAATTATCAGCACTTGAGAAGCTTGATAAATACTGGCTCTGATCTTCATCTAAGTCACAACAATAGACAATCAGTTAAACTAATACCACACAAACAGTTGTATGTTTTTATTGAACACACCGTCTAAACATTCACAGTGGAGGGTTCAAAAAGTATGTGAACCTTTGGATTTAATAACTGGTTGACCCTCCTTTGTTAGCAATAACCTCAAGCAAACGTTTCCTGTAATTGCAAATTAGACCTGAACAACGATCTGGAGGAATTCTGGACCATTCATCTTTACAAAACCTTTTCAGTTTAGCAATATTCTTTGGATGTCTGTTGTGAATCGTTTTCTTGAAGTCAGGCCACAGCCTTTCAGTCGGGTTGAGGTCAAGACTCTGACTGGGCCGTTCCAGAAAGCATATTTTCTTCTGCTGTTGTTGATTTACTTCTGTGCTTTGGGTTGTTGTCCTGTTTGCATCACCCATCTTCTTTTGAGCTTCAATTGGTGAACAGATGGCCTCATATTCTCCTGCAAAATTTCCTTAATAACCTTCAGAATTAATTTTTCCGTCAAAGATGGCAACCCTTCCAGGCCCTGAGGCAATGAAGCAGCCCTAAACCATGATTCCCCCTCCATACTTCACAGTTGGGATGAGGTTTTGATGTTGATGTGGTACTTTTTTTTTTTTTTTTCTTTTTTTTTTTCTTTTTTTTTCCTCCACACAAAGGGTTGTGGGTTCCTTCCAAACAACTCATATTTGGTTACATCTGTTGACATATTCTCTCAGTAGTGCTGTGGAACATCCAGGTGCTCTTTTGCTAACTTCAGACAGGCAGCAATGTTTTTTTGGACATCAGTGGTTTCCTCTGTGGTGTCCTCCTATGAACTCCATTCTTTTTTTTAGAGTTTTACATATCGTAGAATCATCAGAGATGTTGCCATGTTCCAGAGATTTCTGTAAGTCTTCAGTTTACACTTCAGGATTCTTCTTAATCTCGTTTAGCATTCTGCGCTGTGCTTGTGCAGTCATATTTGGACGGCCACTCCTAGGGAGAGTAGCAACAATACTGAACTTTTTCCATTTATAGACAATTTGTCTTACTGTGGCCTGATGGACATCAAGGCTTTTAGAGATACTTTTGTAACCCTTTCTAGCTTCATGCAAGTCAACCATTCCTAATCTTAGGTCGCTCAATGGTAGTTCAAACCAACGCCTCCAATCTCGTCTCACATATTGGACTGCAGGTTAGCTGACTCCTGACTCCAGGTTGTTGTGGGTTTTTTTTTTTTTTTTTTTTCCCCCACATACTTTTCTCACCCTGCGCTGTGAATGTTTACACATGTGTTGAATGAAACATAAGTGGAAGGAAATTATATTAACAACATAACTGTGCCTATATGTAAAGGCAATGTCAAGACAAATAATATTTGAAATGTAAAATGGCTCTTCCTGTCTGCTCTCTTTTTGGTCACAGTTCATGTACACCCTGTCGGTGTGTCTGATTATGCAACTGCTGGGAGGAGTATTGGCTCTGGTGTTCCACAACAAGGTGAGCCGTCCAAGGTGTTGATCAAAAACATCCTCAAGTGCAGGTTACAAAATAACAACAAAACATTTTATACAGTAGTGAACTTATATTGACAAACTATTTGTCACCAGGAAATTATACATACCAAACCAACCATAAATTATGCTGAATGATATTGTTTACTTTGGTTCTTGGTTCTGTCAGTATCATTGACATGCAGCAAACACCCCATGTCTCTTCTAAATATACAACGTAGTATGAATAATGCTGCTGTTAATATTTGAACCATGACCAACTACTGTACATAACATAGTTACAAAAATAACAGACAAATAATTAACTTATCCATGCAAGGTAATACATTGATATATATTTCATTGATTGGTCCACATTGAAGCCTTATTTGCTCATTTCTAGTGAAGAAATGCACAGGGACAGTATAATCAGAATTCATAAGACTAGATAAGATTGTCATGATATTGAGATGATGATGAAATGTTCTGCTTCTTTGACCTGTCTTTGTGTTTCTGTAGCTTTCTTCTCTCTGTTCCACTCCAATGGAAAAATAGCACAGATAATACCTGTAAAGTTTCTAACTTCTGATTGGTTGGGCAGCCTACAGCCTGCCTCCAAAGTCAACCACTGCCCACCCCCTCTTCTCGTTTTACACACACACACACACACACACACACACACACACACACACACACACACACACACACACACACACACACACACACACAGCCCTAAAGCAGACCCAACAAGGCTTTAACAACTATGAACTCTGATGGCACACTGAAACATTAAACTGCTATAATTGTGTATGGATTGAAACAAATTAGTGTACTTGATGTTTAACATTAGTTAAGGTTTTGTTAATTACGCTTATTTATTTTTCTTTAACTATGCTCATCCAATGAAAATACATGTAAAATCTGGATAAAGGATTTCTTTTAAATTTTAGAGTAAATTTAATCTGCCCTCCACTGACTCAAATCATAGGGTAGCAGCAAACTCAGGAATGCTGCTTGACTACCTCCCTTATGTCCCTCCTTCAAATTGTTCTGTTATAAATTACAATAGAATAAAACTGAATACTGGGCCAGGAATTCAAACCAGCAACCTTAGTTCACTTCACCAACCTACCACTCAATTTTCCCACCTATTATTTCTGCTAGACCACCCTTTTATAGCATGACATAATTATTTGATCACCTACCAGCCAGTAAGAATTCCAGCTTTCACAGACCTGTTAGTTCTTCTTTAAGAAGCCCTCCTCATTGCATGTATTAAGTGCACCTGTTTGAACTCGTGAACCTGTATAAAAGACACCTGTCCACACAGTCAATCAAACAGACTCCAACCTCTCCACAATGGCCAAGACCAGAGAGCTGTGTAAGGACATCAGGGATAAAATTGTATACCTGCGCAAGGCTGGGATGGGCTACAGGACAATAGGCAAGCATCTTGGTGAGAAGGCAACAAATGTTGGCGCAATTATTAGAAAATGGAAAAAGTTCAAGATGACGGTCAGTCTCCCTCGGTCTGGGACTCCATGCAAGATCTCACCTCGTGGGACATCAATGATCATGAGGAAGGTGAGGGATCAGCCCAGAACTACACGGCAGGACCTGGTCAATGACCTGAAGAGAGCTAGTACCACAGTCTCGAAGAAAACCATTAGTAACACACTACGCCGTCATGGATTAAAATCCTGCAGCGCACGCAAGGCCCCCCTGCTCAAGCCAGTGCATGTCCAGACCCGTCTGAAGTTTGCCAATTACCATCTGGATGATCCAGAGGAGGAATGGGAGAAGGTCATGTGGTCTGAGACAAAAATAGAGCTTTATGGTCTAAACTCCACTTGCCGTGTTTGGAGGAAGAAGAAGGATGAGTACAACCTCCAGAACACCATCCCAACCGTGAAGCATGGAGGTGGAAACATCATTCTTTGGGGATGCTTTTCTGCAAAGGGGACAGGACGACTGCACCGTATTGAGGTTAGGATGGATGGGGCCATGTATCGCGTGATCTTGGCCAACAACCTCATTCCCTCAGTAAGAGCACTGAAGATGGGTCTTGGCTGGGTCTTCCAGCACGGCAACGACCCGAAACACACAGCCAGGGCAACTAAGGAGTGGCTCTGTAAGAAGCATCTCAAGGTCCTGGAGTGGCCTAGCCAGTCTCCAGACCTGAACCCAATAGAAAATCTTTGGAGGGAGCTGAAAGTCCGTATTACCCAGCGACGGCCCCGAAACCTAAAGGATCTGGAGAAGGTCTGTATGGAGGAGTGGGCCAAAATCTCTGCTACAGTGTGTGCAAACCTGGTCTGTTTTGTTTTGTTTTTTAACCTGTCCTGCCCAGCAGCCTGGTATAGAGTATGATGACATGGATACTATATTGTGCCAGACAGATTTTACTTTAACAAGAGAGTATTAATGTACTCTGTCTGTTTTATTATTTATTTAATTATGTATTGATTTGACACCGGGCCGGACAGGGGAGCAGACACGGGGATGGGGGGGCACAAACAGACAGCACAGAGAAAGGACAAGACCTGTAAGAGAAGATGGATGGAAGGTGGGGACAACAGGGAAAAGCAGTGGGAAACACCAATTGCAGAAAGCAACCAAACCTGCAATAGAACAGAGAGGGGGGCTTGGGGAGGAGAAAAACAGCAACAAACACAAACAAAAACAAACAATAAAAATAATAAAAGTAAAAGACAACCAGCCGCACAGCAGCAATAAACAGCTGACATAGTATGACAACTAAGAGAAAAATGAAAACAGTCTTGCACACTAAATAAGCAACACAGCACAGCCAAGAGAGCTGGCAGGCAAGAACTCCAGTAGCCAATAGGGGTGGGAGAATGGGGGGGGGGAAAATAAAATAAAAAATCAATCAATCAAAAAACAACAAAGACTCCCAGATGAACCGCGATGCAAACGCGGAAGACCCCGACCCAAATGCCAGTTGACAACGTAATGCCTACGGAACACAAGCAGCGTAACCCGCGGAACCCCCCCCCCCCCAGCACCCCACTACTGCGCAGCGAACAACCAAAACGCCCAAATGCCACGCAATCATCAACACCAATGCACAAGTGACGAGCCCATCGCGCACACTGCGCGAGCACGGCGACACCCAATGCCCAGCAGCCCCCTGCGAATCCCACGTGCGAGGTCGGGCAAGCGAGAGAGAGCAAGCGGAATAACACGACAGCGAAAGCCAGCGGAGAGAAACACCAGCAGCAAGTCCCAGCCCGGCAGCAAACGCGCCGCACAGGTCACAGTGCACCCGCCATTAAAAGTCCGCCTTCCCCCCCAACCGCTGGAAAAAACTAAGGCCGCCGGCGCCAGCCGACATCCCCCATGCCCAGTACGCCCCCCGGCCGCTGTGCAACACCAGCCAAACCAGCAACGAGGCAAAATCAACCAGCTCGGCTGCATGCCACCATAAACCCACCCACCCGTCAAGGGCCGAGAACTCCAGGCACAAGCCCAGAACAAACCGGAGCACAGCCCTGCCCCGCACCCACACTGCACATCCCGAAAACTAACTATATATCTCAGTGTCCAGAGGGGTCCAACAACTGGTCGACAATCGCCCTACAATCCCACCGCAGCCCTCCAAACCGCAACCGGATCAACCCGCGCAGAGACCCCCACCCCCAGAAGCCAGGGCACCCCGCGACCCCCCAAAGCGCAAAGGACCCCAGACCGCATGTCCCGGGGGAAGCTGTACCCCGCCCGAAGGAAGAACAGCAGAAAGCCGTGCCGGGAAGCTCCCTGCCGCCAGGGAGCGATAACGCGGGAGAACCAGGCCAACAGTCCCCCAGCCCCGCCAGAGGCATCCCTCCCCAGAGTGCAGGCAGTGCCAGCAGCCCCCGAAGACGATCTCATCCCTGGACGGGGGCCCAGCCCCCCCAGTCAAGCACCCCCAAGGAGGAAAGCTAGTGTTAATGTAAACCAAACAATTCCTGCTACTTCTTCATATCAAGAGCCTTTCATGACAAACAACTTTTAGCCTTTTTATTGTGGAACAGGTGCAGCCTTAGTCACCATGGTTAGTGACAGTGCTAATTCATCAAAGATTTTTTTGGTAGAGGATTGGTTTTAAATATTGAAAGGGGAAGAATGGTTGAAGAAGAAGCCATTAAATGAAGAGCTGCAACAAAGTAAACACATGTAACTGTGCTGTGCAAGTTATGAGTTATTAATAAAAAGCAAATGTAGTGAAGATACACACTCACCTACCATAATTTAACTATCATATACGTATTTTATAATTATTAGAATTGTAAAAAAAAAAAGTGTTACAGTAACAGTGTCTACAATATGCTGACCTCCTTTCGTACTTAGTATCACTGTTTCATGTCGTGATCCTCTAACACACATAACTGCATGAAACTGCTTTAAATTTGCATCCTGACTAATAGGAGAGCTACTGAAACCTCATCACCACCCCAATCATGGTTGCTGCTAAACGTTTTTATCCGATATGTGCCAGCTGTTTCTGGATGTAGTACAGTGCTGAATAATAACTCTTCATTAATTTTGTCTTGTGCATATCACAATTTGTCTTTTTTTCAAGTTTCATTTACATGATCATGATACAACCGATGATGCATGTGGCATTAAAGTGCCTCATATTTTTGTCAGATGAAAGAAACCTTTTTGTGTATATAAAGTCATCATTTTAGGAACTAAAACGTGTTCGAATTCATGGTTATTAGAGTCATAGAATGAATTTGTTGGACTAATTTACACCTTAAGAAGGTTTTATGTAGGAGATACTAATGGAGGATTATTCCTAATGTTGTTGTGCAACCATGATTTATAAATACGGAACCAAACTGGGGTGATTATAACTAACTATAAGTCTTCTATTAAGAAAGCGCTCTCATTCAAGAATATCTTAATGCCTCTGTGGGGAACAGCCTAACAGTCTTTCTTTTCACCTCTTCTTAATGCTTTTAATCATCTCATTTACATTTATAACTTTTTCAACGGTTTTGTGTGATGCATTTTAATGTTTATGACAAAAAGAGAGGCTAAATTATCAGCATTGTGATTGTACATTTCAGTGTGTTCGTGGTAGTTTTGTTAAAAATACAGTAAAGATCCAGGTTTTAATAAGTCATATCTTCATTTTACTGTCAACTCATTTAAATAGAGATTAAATTAAGATATGACAGTGCATGAGGAAATGTGTTTATTTTAATATGATTTCAGTTTCTTGCCCATATAAATCGATTTTTATAAAGACTAATTCTTTTTCTTTTTGGAGTCTCATTTCCCTGAAATCCTCTTTTAAGATGATACTGTGTAAGCTTATAGAGAGTTCTTTAATAATGGTCAATTGTCTTCTGTCTCAAAGGGAAACACTGCAGTAGATTAACTCATCTCGATTAAGTCTATGAATCTCCTCATTGTAATGTGATTTAAACATGGCCTGCCCCTATAGACTCACTGTAAAGACTGGATATGTTCAGTGGAGGAAGAAAATAAATTAAAGGCTCAGTCACTTTAATCTCTGTGACTCGTGAGGGGAGAAATTTCAATTAATTATTATAGGTGTTTAAAAGAAAGAAATCATGGTGCTCCAATAGGCCTGAATCAGGTAAAAAAAAAACATGCTTTGTTGCTCATATCTAATGAAGTTTAAATAAGACAAAAGTGTCACAAACAAAGAGGTGAAGTAGAATAAATGCTTAGTGCTCTAAATTAAAACATTCAATGAAGAGCTCTCCATGAATGTACTTAACGGAGATCCAAGTTGTAAATATTTGTTCTCGGTCTCTGGATAGGCTGATACATTAACCTAATGTGACCCTACTGCACCAGATTGTGACTGACAGATGTGAGCTGCTAAAATGTCATATTTTAATATTCCAGTTCAGTGGATCAGTCACCTTGACTAATCAGAGCATTTCCTCTCCAGAGATGCCTGTCTTACACTTTGATTGTAGATCAGCTGTGTCATGGAAACAAAACAAACGTGGTGATATGACCTCCTCCATCCCCATAACACAGTTTTCCCTTTTGTTTTACTTTCTCCCTCTTACAGACATTCGTGTTACTGAACAAGAACATCCGAAGAGGCATAGTGAACTACTATGATGACTTAGACTTTAAGAACATCATGGACTTTGTACAGAAGAAGGTAAGGTTATGTCACTTGAACATTCCTGTTAACAAGTGACAGGGTTGAAAGATCTTTATTAGCTTTTTAACATATGTCATCATAATGCAATGCAGTATACACAATAAAAAACCTGTGCAGCATTATACGGCTGGGTTGTTTGTTTAGGGGAACGACACCATCACTGAAATCACAGGAAGTTGTGTCCAAAATAATCAGAGAGCTGTGCAGAGCCAACACTGTGCACCTGCTCCCAGAACACTTCATGCTGCCACATACAACAGCCTGAAGCTGAACTTTTATCAAGCACATGAGGATGCAGTGTCTGGGGGCAGCAGACAATTTCACACATTGATATTAAGAAGCAACCTGCAGCGAATTCCACTGTTGAACAGAAGAGAAAAGACAAAACGATCAGTCAGCCAGCAAGCTACATGCCATGTCCTATTGCAGAGTGACCTGTACCAATGGACTGTGGCTTGATTGAATGGTATTTAAGACGCTTAAAAATTGTAACTTTGCTGCTTCTGTGGGAGGTAATTAGGTGGTTTAGCAAATGGAGGTTGAAGGTTGATGAACCTACAGAGAATTATCCCCTGAAACTGCTGCTCACCTTGTCTCTGTCTTTGTGGAGCTTTATAGAGAGTTTCAGCTAATTGTTTGTTTGTCCCACTGTAGCATTAAAGTTTTGGTTCACTCTCATGGCTCTCATGGCATTGTCAGCTGTTTAAAGGGAAGAAGCTCTAAAAACCCACTGTGCACTACCTGCTCAGACAGAAAAAGTTAGTGACTTTTTTAAACAGCTAAAGAGCCAGCTATTTAACTCAGGAGTTGGTAGAGAACAAAAACAGAGCTTAAAGTATAGCGAATATTGGATGTCCATCAGGTTGGCAGAAACACGTCAACTTATTTGCTAGCATAAGGTGAAACTAAGACAGTGATGTGTTCACAGCTTGTTTACGCCGACCCCAACTGTCCAGAATAATAATTTATTGCAAGATGAAGACATTCATGAATGTCTTCATTGATCAAGAAACTCATCTCAGTCACCTGTGTCAGTTGTTTCAGTGCTGCCAATTGATTGGTTGGTGATAATGCTTGTGCAGATCAAGGTTTAGGTCAAATTATGACTTCTATTTATTTTGGCATGCCATCCAGTCAATGTTCTCCACAGGTTTGGGAGACTTGTAGTACTTGATTACCTTCAAAAGCAATTCTACTTTATTATGACTCAAAACAAAAGAAGGCCAACTTGTATTGGCAACTGATTTTTAATGTTTATGCTGTGATGTACGGAATATCTTGACTTGCTGGTACTCTGATCTGCTTGCTTTGATAACAATGAACAGTGCTTCAGTAATGGTAATACTTGAGCGTGAAGCTTCTTCTACAGTATACTTATTCATGGTGCAAAGCTGCCGGTTGGCTGAAGTGTCCTGCTATAGGAGAAAAGTGTTGTCCTGGAGGACTTGGACAAAAAACAATCAGAAAACCTCAGTGAGGATTGAAGCCGTTTCCACATGTAAATTAGCTTTGTGGATTTATGTGTGTTTGTGAGGACAGTGGCCTGAATGAGCCATGGTCATGTGTTGTGCTGACTAAGTTATGGTTCTTTATAGTAACTAAAAGATGGAAAATAAAGCCTGTGTGTGTGTGTGTGTGTGTGTGTGTGTGTGTGTATAGAGATAATGTTCAATACTTTAAAGGATAGTTTTGATATTTTTAAACCTTGGCAATATTTTCATATTTTGGTGTACAAAAAGTTTTGGAATCTGAGAAGAAGCTGGTTTCAGCCGGCAACCACAACATATTCCTTCAGGGCAATTGTTCCCGTCAAATTACGTCCACAAAAAGTGCTTCTTTTTGCCACCAACAGGCTCAGACTGTTACAATAGGTGTCTTACAACTTCATGTAAAGGATCCCTACGAGTCACACTCTTTGTTTTTAACAAGAAACAGAAGTCTTGTTCAAGGGAAATGCTAGCTCTGAAATCTCGTGAGAGGAGAGTTGTTGCAGGAAGACGACAGTGGAAATGTCAGAGTTGGAGAGTAGAGTTTGTTGTGTCAAGTAACATTAGGAAATAAAACCTTGCTAGCCACTCTTGTATGTACACAACAAAATCCTCTGCCTCGTTTCCACTGGCATTTCCTGCTATAATTCACCTCACATGAGTGTTGCTGTCTGTTGTTGACACATTTTCCTCTAATTTGATCTCAAGATGTCTGGTGTATGACATTTTACTTCAAAGATATGGATCAAGTCTATCCACGCAACCTACCACCAAAACATTATATGTCACCTCGTACGAACTATTTAATTTGAAACATACTAAATCTGCAGTGTTTCTCAGTGGTCAGAGTTCACCTGTAAGCTTTTTGTTCCTATTGTAAATGATTGTGTTGCCCTAAATTGTATCAAGTGTGCAACAACAAGAAAGTAAAAAAATCTCATCCTGTAGCCACAAGACAAATCTATGAATTAGTGGCACCTCATATCATATCATATCATATCATATCCTGTCCAGTAATAAGTAGTTCATTTTAAGATAACCTTTCTATCCACTGTGCCTAAGTATTCTAATGGAAATGGGACATTTATTCCACTGGCTGTCTTTAACACTGTGAAAGACAATGAGGGCTTTTTGTGCTCACAATTACAAGACACAGTTGATTAATTAACAACAATTAATTAACCATTTTTCATTTCCCTCATCAGAAGAAATCGAAGCAATTGCAGACACTCGCCCACATAAACACTACACAGCTCAAATATTTAAGTTTTTTTTTTTTTTTTATCAGAATTTGTGCTGCAGTTGGCGGAGTTCGGTATCATCACAGGCCATAGCACCAGGAATTTGGAGTTTATATCATGAAGTCTTACAGCAATGCAAACAATAAAGCCATTCAGTCATTTGGACACTGACTTCATTTTATCAGCACTGTGATAATGCAAATTTATAAGCTCACTTTGGATTCATCACAACAGGTACTGGTGGCTTTTAGGCAAAACAAGCCAAAGCAATTGTATTTTCGTAGCACATTTTGTTAGAAGCAGACTCAGTGTGCTTTACTTTAAAATGCATACAGCAACAACGGGTGGGTGGGGGTGTGTGTAGATATAATAAATAACATACAAGAAAATGCAATAACAAAAACAATGCATATTCATAACACCCTCTTCCCCACCGTGCACACACACGCAAATGAATAAAATGTAAAGAGAAAGGCAGGGAATATAACAGCCTGTAAGCAGATCTTGATATCAATCTATAGTCATTGCCAAACAATATGGGTACCCCTGCATGTCATAATGCAGTACTTCTCCCAGAAAATTGTTGCAATTACAAATGATTTGGTATTCTCATGTTTATTTCTTTTGTTTTCATTGGAACAACATTAAAAAAAACCGAGGAAAAAAGCAAAATCTGCAACATTCCACCCAGAACTCCAAAAATAACTGTATTGTTTTAAAAGAAGAGTGACAGACTTGGATAATGTAGTGGTGATGGAGTTCAGAGCCTGTATATCTGTCAAACACTCTACTTTAATTTGTTTATAAAGCCATGTAATGTAATCTGTACAGTCATAATGTATAAATACTTAATGAGTGACATGTTTTTATCTATGGGAAAAATTGCAACACATGCTTTGGTCAGTGTTGCCCTAAATCATTAACTCCGTGTGTCAGTTATTGACACCAGGTCTCTTGTAAACCTGGTGAAGCCCTCATTGATCACCTTCGTCTACAAAGTGTGTTTATCCATCAGATAGGAGGCCAACTTAACGTAGGTGAGTACAGTCTTTAGATCCCCTGGAGGGGGGGGGGGGAGAGAATATGAATGAATCTTCCAGCGCTGCATCATTAAAAGATTAGGTTCATAATTATTTCGTGGCAGTAATAGTCTGCCAGTGTTTTGGTTACGTATTGGTCTTTTGCCTTTGCCAAAACAGAAGATTAATTACGTAACAGAGCATGCTTTGTGTAAGCTGATCAGTCTTAAGGGCTTTCATACAACATAAAACATTGTATGTTGGGGAGATTTCTTTTTATAACATGTCTGCTTTATTAGAGTTTACTGTGAAAAGAAACTCTTGAAACTCATCGATATAATTACTGTGCCTTACTATGTCTGTGTTAAACATCACATCATCATTTTTGGCATTCATCAAATATGTGTAAAAGCGTGTGTTGAGACCACCCACAGTAGACCTGAAGACCTTTTTCTTTTAAAATGGGACCACACAAACCTGTAAAGTGTGAGTACTCGCCTCACTACCAGATGTGCTCAGATAAATATCTCCATATCTTTTTAAGAGCTGGACTACACAGTTCTGGAAAAGCAGACCCAAGTAAAAAAGTAAACTTTTCCGTATACATAAAGTGTACTACTAGTATGTAAATGTTTGAAGTATATTTTCATTATATAATCTTAAATTGAATCCAAATAAAGTTGTACTTTTAGCAAAAGTATTAAAAGTGCACTATTTTGGAATACATTGCTAGTGTAATTACATCCATACACAACTACTACTACACACTACTAGTAATATTACTACTAATTAGATTTGCATTTAACTTTAATGTATTTTTGCATAATTACTTTTTTTACTTACTTAGTTTTATTATATTTAAATATATCGTACATGCATACAGAAGTACAGTTTTTATTAAGTGGTTTCAAGTTCACAAGTTAAGGTATGCCAATTTTGAAAACATACAAAGTGTACTAAGTAACATGATAAATACTTTTTTAAAAAATGTATGCTTTTTCACTACCCAGTCAAAGCACGGCACTGAAGCTGGTCTGAACACAATTCTCCTGCTGAAAACATTATGGAAACTGTTCACCGGTACATTTTTTTTGGGAGGGGGGTATCGGAGCGAGCCGGTCTCAGGATTCAAGTCCCCCTCTACCAGTGCATATACTGCAATCTATAACCCTTTCATATTGGAGAAAGTGTCAGATAGCGCCAAATCATCAAAAGCTTTTTCTTTGACCCTGTGCACTGAAATAATCATTTTGGGGGTTTTAGATGCTGAGCTCTTCATTTGTGTAAGGAATAAAGCAGGGAATAGGTGACACACAACTCCTTTTAGGGGAAACCTAAAGGAAATAGGCAGGAGACACAACACAAGATTAAACTAAAGGGGGGATTAAACTGAGTAGGAAAGTAGGAAACTGAGTGGGATTTGTTGAGGTGGGTGGAGAAATAGAGGAAAGTCTGTGTATGCTGCAGGTATTTTCTGCTGAGAGAAACATTGTCCTGCATCCCCAAACTGAAAACCTTTTTTAATGTATCAGCACCATTTACAGTAATAGTATACTGGTTGTGGCTCTTGAATCTAGACTATAAAAAAAACATTCTGTCTAATGTTCTGTGATAGCACATAAAGAGACAGGATGATGGATAGTGTGTTGTAAGTACTCCCCACAAAACACAACCCCAGTTGTGAAATTAAAGGTGCACATGTGGGGATCTGCACAATGTCGTTTATATCATCACAGGGAGGTCACTACAAGTAACAGGACCAAATTTTCTATATATGATCCACAGTAAAGCCAAATTAATCTTTTTACTCAAGGTCAGCACAGCATGCGACATGATTAACAGATAATAGCTTATAGCTCTCGAGGGTTCACATTTTCAATATAAACCTTAATGAATGTTAACCTCAAATCCATCAGTACCGTGCTGGTTTAAATCCCTTTCTGAGAAGTTAGTACCTTTCAAAAAGATGTGACAGATGTAAGGGAAGATGTTTGTTCAATAATTGTAGACAGCATCAGCTACTCGTTAAAAGATTTTTTTGCAGAAAGGAGGACACATCTGGATTTTCAAAATAGACAGGTTTCTTTTGTGATGTTGCAAAGGTTTTGATCTGTGGTCATCCAGATTTTATTACAAATATAAGCAATTTCAGGTTACCAAAACTGTTCTGGAAAAGATTTATTTAAAATGTTAACCTGCAGGAAAGATCTGTCACAACGTTGTTACATGGATGCCAAGTTATAATGAAGGCAGGGATCACATGAGGGACGGACTTCTGTTTTGCAGCACCACACTTGGCACAGCTGGCCTATTAGGCAGTTAGTCACTCAGTCAGCCAGTCTGCCCGTGAACAGACGTTCATCAGTTAGTGAGACAGTTGGCACTGCTGCAAATATTTCATTCTGAGAGACGACTGACTCTAAGGACTGCCTCCCAGTAATTAACCTCTGAAGAATCAGAAATACTTTATATAATGGTTGTCATCCCACAGTGGAAAAGACAATTGGAAGCCAGTGGAAAAAGAGATGAATGATAAAAATAAAGGAAAAGGCATAAAACAATAGTCAAATTAATGTGATTTGTGTTGGTTTTTTTTATTATAACTTAACCAACCAAATTGTTGCATAGTCCTGTCATCCGTGTGAGTGACAAGGAGAGTCTCTGTCTTATCTAAGAGGATGGACGGGTTTGGCTCGTCTCCTGCAGTCTCATTGGTGTTGTCAAGTGTTTTGAGAAATTGCTCCTTCAGGTTGGTCTTCTGAGGATGCAAAATCCCCGAACTGAATCTAACATTAATCTTCCAATAGATAGGATTTACTGCAGGACTGTTGGATTATGGTTTTACTGTACAGTTGCACAAACTGGTTCCTCAGTGTGAAGTTGTAATGATTTTGGACTCCTACCTAACATTTGCAGACTTTAATCACATCATAATTGCTTTGCCTCTCTGTGACCCTTGTTTGGGCCCTGGTCCAGTGTTGGAAAAACGGCGATCGGCGGAGTCACACCAACGAGAAGTGGGAGTAACTTCCTGGCACACTGGCATCATGTCAGCATACTAATCACACTGCTGTGCAAAGAGCAGCCTCATATTTATTAATTTATACACCTTCTCTCTTTATCTGCTGTCTTGCCCTCTCTTTCTGTCTCTCTGTCTGACATTTTGTCATATTTGTTCTGTTTCTCTTACTTACTGTCTTCCTGACTCTGACTCTGACTCTGAGTAAATGACTACAAAGTAGAGCTAATAGTGTGGCTCTTGGGTTTTTCTGTGAGCGCTTCCTCTCTGAAGCGGCTGTGCAGCAGCTATCCACCCCAGTGAAAGTATAAATCAAATAGATATTAATAAATAGGGGCCCTACAGGGTTGGTCTAACATATTTTGAATACTATCAATTGTGGCAGTAAAATATTTATTCAAATATTGAAAAGCACTAAGTCTCAAGTGGTTGGCATATCTGTCATATTAATAGGCTCTTTACATACATACACAACACAGGGGCATCTTATGCCCAGCTTGAGAAAGGTCTGGAGATACCTTGGGGAAAATGCCCTGTTGTTTGCCTTCGGTCATTTTTGGTTTTTAGTTCATATTTTGATGTTATCATGGTTGCCCAACAGGGTGGTGGCCTAAACAGCCGTCAAACCATGCGACACAGAAACACTCAATCAAAATTAACAATGACATTTGTTTGCAGTAAGTCAATGTAACTCAAAAGCTCTAAGCCAAAACCAATAATAATGAACTTCCTTTAGAAAGCTTATCCTTTATTTTCCCTGTGAAGTAATTATTAAGCAATAAAGTCAGTTGGTTGGTGTCACACTATTTTGTGGGTGTGTGAACCAAAAACAGGAGGTTGGCAGGTATCAATTTGTTGTTTTGGACTGCAAGTGTTATTGATTCAGCATTTAATGTTTATATGTCTAATGTGACTGAGAGAACAAATCAAGCAATAGCTTTCTTGAATTGCAAAGGTCTTGATTTGTGTGCATGTAATCTGGGTAACAACTGCTGTAAACTGAATTTTTTTATTTATCCATGTAGTTATGAGGTAAACAAGCTACAGACTCAAAACTGAACATTACACAAAGGAAGGGTTCATTGCAGAGTTATTTATGTTTACTGTATTTTATTAACACCAGATGCGCTGTATTTAGTGTGTTACATTCATTTACAACACCTGTCCACAGGACGATTTTCAGGTGTTGATATTATGAGTTATATTACCTAATATTGTAATATCATACTCAATTTACTTTCATTACACATTTATGTAGCGCCAATTCATAACTGAAGTTATCTCAGTAGGTGGCTTGCAAGCACAGATCCAATATCTTTCTTTTATCTTTCCACATATCACCCATCCCTACCACCACCTATAGACATAGACATATTTAGGCAGTTCTGCAAGTTAGAGAGAGACTCACACATAAAAATTGTTGTTAATTATGGCTCATTTCATCCTGCAATTTTACTTGCAATACACAGCAGAAAAATGTTGTTTATCAAGTTGTTTACTTTCTTTTTATCTCTCCCCTCTCCTTCATTCCTGCATCCTATCTCTTATTCACCTTACATATCCTCTTCCATCTCCCTGTTAATCTATCTTTTTGTCTTTGCCTCTCATTCCAATTTCTGCACTTTTCTCTACTCTGCCGTCCTTCTCGTCTCTGGCAGTTTCAGTGTTGTGGAGGTCAAGAATTTAAAGACTGGGGTGTCAATATGTACCACAACTGTTCTGCACCTGGTCCACTGGCCTGCGGGGTCCCTTATACCTGCTGCATTACTACTAAGGTAGGTATCACTATTACCATTCTGTTAGTATGCTCACAATGGTGCTTCTAAATGTCTGCCACCGAATTATTGCAGAAAATATGACTATTAGTTGTTCCTTTTACAGCTTGGGTTCAAATATTACAACCAAACCAGTGGTTGTACAACTGCCATAACTGTACTGTAATTGTAAGCACCATTATTTTGCTGTATGCATCCTAGTTTGTTGCATATTTTATGAAGTTTTGTTCAAAGTATTCTCACAAAAAGGTATATTTCTGTCATTTGTTGTCTGTTTGATAAAGTCAGATTTTTTTTGTGTTTTGATAAAGATCCAAGATGTAGCCACATAAAATATCTATAAATATAAAATATAAATGACAAAGAGCACTGACCTAGAAAATCAGGAATGAACATCATCACGGCCTGACTATATGTGCTGTTTACATTTCACTTCACATCAAAGGGGAATTGTGCCATTTTTACACATCAAAGCTTGTTAAAAGGTCTTGGTGAGTGCTGCTTCATATGTTAAGTTAAATAAAGCCTTTTGTGGCTCCACAAAGTGGTGCCACTTGAGGCGTCGACAAGGTCTGTAGACTGGATTTAGAAAATGAAAAATCTGGAGTTAGAAAGAAGTGAGCTTACCAGCTCTGGCCAGACCTCTGTAACTGCCCCTCACCTCTGCTTGGTGCTTGTTGGTTGAGGCTACATTAGTTGCTACTAGCACAACTCGATACTCCGACCGAACAGTCAGTGGTCGAGTTGCATTTTGGATAATGTAGGTTTTGGCGAGGAAGAAGAATGTGTGATAGAATTATTAGAGCCTTGGGTTCTGCTCTATCGATTTTTGAACTGTTTTTAAGTGTCCGTCACAAGTCTGACAGTATTATAAAAGAATGCTAAATTGATGCAACTGCTAGGAACAAATAAGTAAGTGTGACTATGCTTAGGGTAAGATATTATAACGTAAAAATAAATAGTTACAGTTTACAAATTCATTTGCATTTAATCAAATGCATTTTTTAGGAAAAAGATATTTTCCACTGGGGAAAGATGTCCCCTCCATTGGGTAGAATCACTATAAACAGTGCAAATTACAGATAAAGTAGCTGCTTAAAAGCAAGAGGATTACATGATAGACCTATGTTTTAGAAATAAACTTGCCTTACCTTGCCTTATGTTATTAGCTTTCCTTTCATTTAAAACATTTTACACAATTAGATTTAAAAAAAAACAACAACTTCAGAAGTCGTGACCAAACAGAGGAAATTTGTAGTTGAGTGAGACTAGTAGCAGCCAGAAGAAGTGTTGAGATAAAAATTGTGACATTTTGTGGTTGTTTTTTTAACACAGTCTTGCCTCATGTTACCCTAAGTTTAGCAGACAATTTTCATGTTCATTAAATGCTGGAATCATCAGAATTTCCTTTGGTAAGGAAGACACCAGCTAACTGAACAGGTGCTGATTCAGTCCCTTTTAACTATAGCTGCCAATACCAGCCAGAGCAGAAAGGCATCTCATGGTATGCAGTTTGTCTATTAACTGGTTTTGAATTAATGTTGCATACTAGAATCTAAAACATTACCTGAGGTGCATGGATAAAGCAAACATTTCATCATCCCTGCCATGCCTCAATTTATTTATAATGGGTTTGTTTAGCCAGTTTGTATTTCATTCAAGGGTATAGAAATTAGTGGGGACAGTAGGGACATGTCCCTACGAATATCCAGCGATTATTGAATTGTCCATAGCAATAATTTTGATCCAAAAATCAAAGTATAACCAACTTTGTCTGTCAGTGTCTAGTCAGTATATTTGGTACACAAACGGTTAACAGCTCTGGAAGATGTAGCTACAAGGACTATCTGTCTATGGTCCCTACTATTGTTGAGACCAAACCTACATCCTTGATTTCATTAAAACTGTAATAGTGTAGAGTTATGTTTTGAAATGCATCTCATCATCATTATGATGGTGATTAAGCCTGCGCCGTGCCATTTTTCCCACGCAAAACAGAACATGCTCCCTTTAATTTATACACCTACACTCCCCAGAGCTTACAAGGAAAGAGAGAACAAAAACTTTTTAGTCAGACGATAGTGAACAACAGACAACATGATCGGTCCAATACAGCCTCTTACAGAAACCGTGGCACCTTTTGATATGATAAGATAAAATGCTCCTTTTATTGAAATAAAAATTGGCATAGGAATGTAACAAGACAGATACAAAAAAAGTAGAATCAGTAAATGTCATCAAATATGTAAAATATATACACACTGTATATATACTATGTACAATCAAATACAGTCAGAAATAGTCTGTCAGTCTATCCTGTGTTCTCAATATGAAATTAAATTACCACACTGTTCTTTTAATATTGTCTTTATCAACAGTTTGACATTATTGTAACTCTTTTGTGATAATAAGGTTACAATAATGTAATGGGGGGGGGAGAACCAACTGTGTTCACCTTCTCACCAAGCTGCTTGGTGGTGTTCTTGTAGCCCATTCCAGCTTTGTGTAGGTCTACAATCTTGTCCCTGACATCCTTGGACAGCTCTTTGGTCTTGGCCGTGGTTTGGAATCTGATTGATTGCTTACTTCTGTGGACAGTCTGTCTTTTATAGAGGTAACAAACGTGATTAGGAGCATTTCCTTTAAGAGTGTGCTCCTATTCTCTGTATCAAAGATCCCTGGGAGGCAGAGATCTTTCTGATTGAGAGGGGGTCAAATACTTATTTCACTCACTAAAATGCTAATCAATTTATAAAATTTTTGACCGGCATTTATCTGGATTTTTTGTTGATATTCCGTCTCTCACTGTTCAAATAAACCTACCACTAAAATTATAGACTGACAATTTCTTTGTCAGTGGGCAAACGTTCAAAATCAGCAGGGGATCAAATAATTTCCCCCCCACTGTATGGTGGAATAATTAACTAATAATTAATTGGTTCTCAGTTTTGTCTTTTGTTGTCAGGTACAAGACGTGCACTCTGCTTTGTCAATAGTACACGTGGTAATGTATTTCACTATTGTGTATACTGTATTCAGTATCCTGGATTTGTCAAGAACTGTTAAAAATGTTTGGGAAAAAATTGCTCAGCTGGAGCTTCTGCCACTATGGTGGATCATCTTGCCATATAATTATATTCAGACTAAAATTCTCATATTTCAAATCTCGTGGTTCACAGATCTCTGTTTTGAATGAATAAATTAAATTTACGTAAGTGATGGATGAAACACAATGGTGAAACACATTACCACGTGTGCGATTGACAGAGAGTGCACGTCTTGTTGTACCTGACAACTGTTGACTTGTCTTGGCTAATAAACAAGAAATACACAGATTCTTATTTATAATACCTCATCTTTGGAAGTATTAAGTACCAGGCGCCAGTAAAAGTCACAACACATACCATCATTGGAAATCTTTAGGATACATTATAACATAACAAATTATGTTATTGAATTAGAAATAATAGAATTAGAAGTAATTTTGCCATTTCCTATATGAACAGTAAAAATGCATTTGCACCCCATTCTTCAAACTGTTGTCCATTAGTGCAACAGTAAATTAGATAAAAGTAATGTCTTTCTTGTCCATCAGTTGTGTGTCTCATATAATTTAATCTGTATTTAGATTATAAATTATGTCCATATTTAGGTTCACATTTATGCATTGTACAGTATCACTCTTCCTCTCCTCTTCCTGCGCCAGAAGGCCACATGAGATTGACAGTTTAGCTTATCTTATTTCAATATATGAATATATTTGAATATTTTGAATATGGAAAACCACAAGCTCAAAGCCACAATGCACATGCATCAAAGGCAACAACCATTTTCAACAGTATTGTGTTCAGTGTCTAGCTCAGTGTACACACACACACACACACACACACACACACACACACACACACACACACTTTCTGTGGTGATAATGTCTTCAGCAGTTTTGTGTGTGCATGCGAGTGACAGTTATGTATGTCTGGTTAATGTGCAGTTTCCACGTCTAAAGAAAAACATGCCTCCTGTTCTGTCTGTCGTTGACTCCGCTTGACGCTGAAAGCTGTTCATAGGTTTCTGTCCGTTCTGTAACTATTTCAACCTCTTAACTTGACCTCTTTGTCTCTGGTTCCCTCTCCTCTAGCCTAATGAAGTGGCCAACACCATGTGTGGATACAAAGTGTTGGAAAAAGAGGTAAGGCCTCAAAGACTGACACACATGACTCAATAAAGATAATGCTGACTAATTAAAGTGCTGCTCCTCTCCTTCAATGTCATTTTAAAATATTTAGTTCAGTTTTGTCTTCTTTGACAACTAAAGCATTATAATTTAAAGTGGCCATTTCCAACAGTTGTTCTGTATATACATCACAGTGACTATATTGACTAGCTGACATATGCTCTGTGTTACTGCCCCAAATCTTTGAGCAAAGCACAACACACAAGACGACCTTTCAGTCATGATAAAAAGAACAAATCATATTAAGCTTTTATATATCTAGAAGTGGGATTTAATGCAGGTAGAAAAAATCTCCCCTCCTGTTTGACCATTGAGTAGAGATCAGGCCTCACAGGTCCAGGATGTTGCAGGGACTTTTCAGTTTTTTTATAAAGTGAAACATGAAACGTTTAGTTAGAATTCAGTGATTGTTGAAAAATTTTAAATGTTAAGTGTATGTCAAAACCAAACGTCTCAAATAGCTTGATATATAACGCTAGCGCGTTTGTCCTCTGTATCTGATGTGCTGCCGGTCTTAAATAATTCACTAAACTAGCAAAAGAACTTGACTGTAACCTCTAACTGGTCATAACAAGCAGTTTGTGTCTCGCAGCGTTTGGACTTGATCGAAATTATACATATCAGAGGCTGCACTGATGCTTTCTTCATCTGGCTGAAGGACAACAATAAGATTATGGCTGGACTGCTATTAGGGATCCTAGTGCCTCAGGTACACACACACACTTCATTTGCCCTGGCAGATACGTATGGCCCCCCTACCATTCAGACAAAGTTATACCCATCCTGGATTGTGTTTTAGGAAGATTTATTATCTGGGACAGGAGACTAAGTTCTCAGTTTGAAATGTGATGTAAGCAGTTCTGTTCATGTCTGACAAATGTTTCACCACTGAAATGTTTGTTTTTTTGTGTCCATGTGAACTGGCCACTTGTGTGTGCATGACTGTAACTACACATAACTAACTAAGGGGACACTGGCTTACATTCATTCCCTGAAGACATAGCCTAACTTGAACCATAACCACTACATGCTCATCCCCAACCCTTACCTTAATTTTAAACCTTAAGTCTTAACCCTAAAATGTAATTATTTAAATTGTGATGACTTGTATTCTGTCCCCAAAAAGGAGGTGAGCCCTTACAATGTGTCTGTGTCTCCACAACACAGTCAAATATAAGACCAATATAAGACTGAGATGTACAGCGCATGTTATGTAAATCTGACTGGTATAACACCGTATACTCAAGGAGGCGTTAGGTCATCTGTGGCTTTCACAGAACAACTTTTGTACTTGTTTCAATATTTGTCCAAACTTTTACAGCTGGCAGGGATGTAACAAGTGCAGCTTTAGTTTCAGTATATCTGTAAATAGATCAGAAGCACAATGAAATAAAACATGTAGGCACGCAACTCAGATCACTAAGTGGGAGAAGATGTAAATTGCTTCTCGATCAGGTACATTCAGCATCTCCACTCAGCAGTGAGAAATTACGCAGTGCTATTTTCTACTGCTTGGTCCTGCATGCTTGGCATGCTGGACCATGTCATTTAGGGTTTAGATCAAACAGGCAAAAGTTTTGATACATCAACTCACTGCTACAAGATTTTTTTAAATTGCCTGACTTTTGTATTTTTCTGCTGTTACAAAAACATTATCTAGAAGGTATTTTGACTCTTATAAACCCACATATAGACACATTTTGTATTCACCAGATACATCTACATCTTTCCCTTCATATCCTGCTTTTTATACCAAATCCATTAGAGGATATGGGCATGGCAGATACAGAAGGTATTTTTCATTTCTGCCCTCTTGCATCTTGTTTTAACACATATGATGCATTAAAGTCCAGACACACCGAAACCTTTGAATGTAGGAATGACAATTGTGCTGGATGTCTGTACTTAAGTATGATGGACTTCATTGAGCTGTGAAAATCCCTGTGCGGCAGGTTTAAAGTTTATTTTAAGTTGAGATATATTTACATAATTTCTACTTTCCATAAACATGCATGCTACTAAATTATTTTTATTAATTGTGGGACATTCTCATCGTAACCTGGATGATTACAGAATATCAACTAGGGCTGCAGCTAACGATGATTTTAGTTCTTGAAGCTTCTATAGATTATTTCATTGATTCATGAACGCATCGTTTAAGAAGTACTTTTGCTTGGAAGCGGCAGCATCGACACCCCTACCCCGGTATTGGGATCAGCTGTATACACTGATAGATGATAAATATTTATTAGTCCTTTCGGAAATTCATAGTGTGTCATACAACAAACATCAGACCAACAGCCAGACAGCTGCTTTACCAACACAAACATCACCAGAGTGCTATACAAGTTATGCTAAGGTGCAGCTACCCGACACGCAGTTAATTCATGAGTGTGATGTTACAACCCAAACTCACGGCCCAACAAGGAGAACAACCGCACGTGTGTTCATTTTCAGCTGAGGATTGTGGCTTACTTTGGCTAGCCTTCAACTCAACAATCAATTATGATTTCAGTTAAATGCTAAAGTTACTGTTACCTTGTCTGTGGTCCGCTGGCAGAACACCGGGTGCTTTCTGACCAGGTGCCGTCGTGCTGTTGCCAAGGCGACATAGGTTTTGTTTTACGGTGGACGGGCTGCAACATCACAGAGTTGTTGTTGTAGCTTGAAATAATAAGTCAGTGCGATGTGCAACAGTAATAAATGTCCGTGCGCTATACAGTGTGCTATATAGTTATATGGATTAAATGGATGCAAAGAATTTGCATCGATGCATTTTATTAATCGATGAATCGTTTCAGCCCTAATATCAATAAATGCTGACGCAAATAATTAATAAAAAGATAAAGCGTTGTTGGCTCTGAGCAGTAACTTTATTATTTGGACAGTACATCACATTGTCTGGTATACAAAGCTGTTAACACCAGCAGACTGACAGGTGATCCTGCTGTGCCATGGGTATCAGATTAACATGGCTGTTCACGGAAAAATACATTTCATTTCTCTAACAACTTGATTCCCCTCTCCTCGCATCTCCTTGTTTCATCTTTTCCTTGCATCTAACATGGGAGTGACTGAGACACAAGTGTAAGGGAAACAAGGAGACATTTAAGACAGATGAGAGGCACCTAAGGTGACCTCCCTTTGTTCCTATAATTAGCCCCTGCCTTCTCACTCTCTCTCTGTCCCCCCCAGTTCTTTGGTGTGGTAGTCAGCTGGCTATACATCACTCGTGTTGAAGACGCCATCAGTGAGTACGGTCAGTCCACAGACGGACTACTGGACGGATCTAAAAGAGAAGTCAGGAAGCATGGCCGCGTGGCCAAATGGTTTAAGTGTATGCCACTGTTCGACTGATGGAGACGATGAGCAAAAAGTAGAAAATGGGCTCCAGCCAACAGCCACAGTTGGTTAAATCCCTCCAGTCGATCCAGATACTGTTGCAGCCACTGAACTGCAGTTTACTATATGCTCACATCACTGTGGAAACAAATTGATGGCTTTTTGGGGGCTTTTAGTTTTTTGGAAGAGGGAATTTTTGCGTGTAACCAGAGAATTTTTTTGGTTTTTATTCTTAAACTTACTGTAAATATCCAACAATTTTATTTTATTTTTTTTTACAATATCAACTGTATTCATTATTAATTGATGTCAACATACAGTGTACTACTGCACGAGTGGGAAATGATCGCTCATTTATGTGCTTTTAGCTGCATTGTGCCTCAGACAGTCTCAGGGATACACACAGAAAACAGGACAACCACCATCTACAGCACTGACTTTGTTCTTTTATACTCATGTTCATTGTTTGTTTCTTTGTTTCTGCTGCCAGTTACAATTTACTTGACTCCTCTTTTCAACCACTGATGAAGCAGGTCCTATTATCCAACCACTACTGTTGACAAAAAAAGATATTATAGGCTAAGACACTATTTCTGTCATCTGGAAGCAGGACATGTTTTCCTTTTTTGTATATTGAGCTGAAATATTCAGAGGTTTTAGACTAAAAATTAATTATTTTTTATTTATTTCCCCACAGTGTCAGTCAGAGAGTCAATATGATTGTATTTATTTTAATGATGAATGCTACTACAGTGCCAACATGAGGATATCTCAGGGATTTAGTATAGCAACCCTGTCTCCTAGAAATTACATTTATGTTCTGAGAGACACATGGTTCTACCTGAATGAGTAATAACAGACTTGTCCCTTAAAAACATTTTGTAATTTTTTAAGTGGCAAAATGCTCATACGAGTAACAAAACCTTGTGACTTGAAGCACAATCTCTGAGATGTTTACTTTATTAACACAAATTTTTGTTGCCTAAACAGTTTCTGGTGTCTGAGTCCTGTGCTTTTTACACAATCTATTCACCCAAACCACCTCATTAATTGTCTTATTATTAATAAAAAAGTTGCCATAGAACATAATTCAGATTCCAGCATTAACCTCTAAACAGATTTGGCTAAATTAATTGGAAGCGTAATTTCTAGGAGACAGGGTTGCATACAGACATATTAAAATAGGCTAGCCAAGATGTACTGTAGGACAAAATTGCCTTAGAACATCCTACAACATATTGTATAATCCAATGTGGCTTAAGTTAAATAAGTGAATAACGTGAATTAAATGTGCTACTCCTACTATGTTTTGATGTAAAGTTGGAAACTGAGACCAAATTTTTGTTGAAGTTGATTTTATTTATTTTTTTATTCAATAGTTTGTTTTTTTTGAAGTGGTGCTATATGAGGTACTTATCCATAGTCAGTGTATTACCTGCAGTAGATGGTGTTCGTTATGCCCCCAGTTTGGAGAAGCAGAGAGTTGTACCGGAACAGGTGTTGTGTCAAAGTCTGTTCCCCCATTGATATGCGTTTCCCCTTACCTTCACCTGACCCCAACCTTATCCCTACCCCTAATCACAGGGGATCCTACTGAAGACTATTCTAACGGGAGCTAAACACTGTGTGACGAGGATCAGAATTTGATACAACAGGGAAAGTTAAGCAAAGTACTGCAGTGGACAGGCTCAGCAGCAAAACACACAGTATTTTAACCACCTAAAAAAGGTCCATCAAAATATATTCTATATTTGGAATATTTTCAGCGCTTTACCTTTTTGTCAGACAGCCATTTCCTTTGGAACTACATTTTCTCAACCGTAGAAGTTCTGTATTCCTGAACTGCTGATCTCCTGCGGTGTTTACACTCCGGGGCCAAATCTTCCTTATGCAAAAAAATGTAGTTCCAAAGGAAATTGTTGTGACGTCAAAATGAAGCATGTATAGCGTACACTTAAACTGATATTGATTTTTCTTCTTCAGTGGGCTTAAATACGTTATGCTGCTTCAGCAGTACATTGCTTAGCTTCCGTGCCGGTACAACACTCTGTTTTTCCAAACTGAGGACGTGCTGACCGCCATCTACTGCAGGTCATACAATCACTATTGATAAGTATCTCAGACAGTCCCCCTTCAAAAATCCCAAACTATTCCTTTAATGATATGTATAATATTAGTAAACTGTACCTTACTGTACTTATACTATTGCTAAAATATGTTTGCAAGTGTTTCAGGTTGGTTCTTTTCATTTCTTTCATTGGTATTTCCTCTATTCAGTAGGATACAATGCCAAACAGGACTTGCACAGTTTACATGTCAGCCAAGTTTGTACTGGAGGGTCAAATAGAGATTGCCAGGACTTTATCCTCATTAGCATGGTGACACGACATGACAAAATATGTAATAATGCAGATTAAATATGTTCCGCTCATGTTCAGCTGGCAACAGACAAAGAGTACATTTGATTTTAACGTTACTAACATGTTGGGTTGTCCCTCACCCTGAATCAGACCTTGATAAGAAATGTTCTTATAACTTGTGAAGCTTTTTGCTGGTGGGTTGAAGGTAAATTTTCTCTAATCAGTTGGTTGAAGGGTTTATTTAAAATGTTCTTACAGTATGGTTGCATTCACATAGAATCTGCTGCTTCTTGCTGTCTTAACAACAACTAAAAATGTATGGACCTGTTATTTACAATTTATGGTCTGTTTTTGTCATTCATTCACAAGTCTAAATATACTGTATAATACTTCAAACCAAAGATAGTCTGTCCTTTCCACCTTTTAACGCATATAGCATGGAAGATGTTTTCTGAAGATGTTGCATGACATAATAGATATATATCCAAAGGTATGTTATTGGTGCATACATTCAGTACGTGGGTGGCCTCGATGGAAATCGGATCATCATCGTCTTTACTTAAGTGTCATCGTCAGTTCATTGAGTTGCACAATGCCACACTAATTGAAATAGTTTTGCATGTTTGAGGTTTGAAAATAAAATGATTTACTACTGCTGGATAAGTTCTGTTGTTTATCTTTGAGTTGACTGTAGCAGGGGTGGGGGGGGGTGTTAAATAAATGATGGTTGATACAGCATCACACTATGTGTTTTCTAGGGCAGGCTTCACCCTTAGTCACTGGCAGTGTCTAAATGTTTCATGCAAAAGTAGATGCAAATTTGTATGTAAAAGTATGAAAACAATGAATATGAAAACATAGTAAAGACCCTTTCAGAGGTCATCACAAAGCATATTAGTTGAATCCAAAGTAGTGACCTTCAAATTCCAAAGACTCTCAATCGCTTGAATGTGAAACTTCAACCAAGAACATGTTGCTTAGTAGCAGTAATCATTATCATTCAGCACATACCTAATTTGGTTGAATGTTCACAATTCTCCATGTTATGGAGCACAGGATATTCATACTGTATCTGTAGTCTTTGAGAAATAAATTTTAGGTTGCAGATTCTTAGGACTCATTATATTTAACTCTGAGAAATAAGTCTTGGTCAGTGATTTTGGCTAAACAGTGATTACTAATCAAAGGGTCCTGGTCTATAATAAATGTCTGCAAGCTTGTAGGTGAGATTTTAACACCTACAAATGGATGAGATGATGGTGGTATGGGGACATCTTTGTGCTAGATACGTTTCCATTTCCTTTTGTCAGCTCAGAAAGAGCCATTGAGTGTATGCCAATACTCCAGATGTGATTGGCCATGTGTTTTGCAGTTTACCATTTGCTGTTGTGTCTTTGTACTAATTTAAGGAGAGGGAGACTACCTTTCAAGAGAGAACCGTGATCTTTCTCTCCCTGATCACATATAAAGAATTGATTCATCACATCTTTGACATCGTATTAGTATTTGGGAAGAATTTTTCCCTGAAAAGTCTCAACAGAGAAAACTTGCTCTCTTCTTACCATAAGTAGTATTTAATTGATTGTATAATATTTTGTTAATTCACTAAGTCATTAAATAAAGACTACAATATTAAAGACAAATATTAGAGAAGGAAATACATTTTTTTCTTGTTTTAAATAAAAGAATGAAGTGAAGCCAAGTTGATCAAAGAAAAGGGTCGAGGAACAAAGAAAAATCTCTTCACGGATTAAAAAAAAAATAATCCAAAAATATGAAAATTAACAATGTACTCTAAACAAAGTGGTGATGAACATTAGTGGCATTAAAAACATGAGTTTAAATCAGATCTCATTATTGCTTAACATTGAAAACAAATCAATCTATTATGTAAGTGAGAGTTTGTACCGTTCAGGGTTTTTAAAATGTGAAATGAATGAAGTTGCTCATTTGAACGGTCACTTGAATTAAGGCCTTCCTTTCTTTTAGAAACATTACCATGTACAGTGTTTGCGTCTCACTCAAATAGGCATCATCTGTGTGTCATTTCAGCATGACTTGGCTCTGGTTAAACTCACTTCTTCAACTCCTTTACACATTAGAGGAACTTGTATCTGTTGTATTGCTGTCTTCCTCTTACCCCTGCTTCTACTGCTGCTTTAAAGACTTCCTGCTGTATGGACCTATTAATATTTTACTCCCACCACCACAGAGAAAGCAGAAATTATTTTCCTACATCACCAACAAGGAAGGAAGAAGCTGTTGAGAATTGTCTGGAAGGAGTGGTCCTGCTGCTCTGCTCCACCAACACACACCTTAAAATAAGTTGTTTAGTTTCTTTCCACTAGCTCATTCTCTGTATGGTCAGCTCTCCCACTAATTTTTGTCGTGGATTCGATATATATCATGTGTCCAAATGAAAAGTTGATCACATAATAAGCTACACCATTTGTCTCTCTGGGAGTGATTTCACTTGGAGAGTTGCTGCTTTGCAAAATGTTTAAACTGAAAAAATTGTCATGTGCTGGCAGTGTTGTCAGGGAAGTCACAAGATTGACTGGTAAACGGTGTGATCAAGTAGCTGAGCAAATGAGGGCGATGTTTGCATGAGATGTACCACATGTTTTCTCCAACAAGCCTACAGCAGTTGTTTGTCCTTAAATACATTTGATGCCATTCGGAAATTACAGGTGCATCTCAAAAAATTTGATTATTGTTTATTTTTTTATGTAATTTAAGTAAATTCTAGAATCAAAAATCCATATCTCATTACAATATTAGAATAAAGAATTAAATATTGACCTGAGAAGAGCCTTTAATCTCTCAGTCTGGTTCAGTACACACAACCACAATCATGGGGAACGTCTGACTGGACAGTTGTCTAGAGGACCGTCCTTTAACACCCTCCACAATGAGGGTAAGCCACAGAAGGTCATTGCTGAAAATGCTGGCTTTTTACAGGGCGAGATGCACCTGTACATATGTTTTCCAATATTTATCCAACAAAGCCATACTCCACCAAGACCTGTGTTTCCAATGTGTTGCATCTCAACACACTTAACCCTAACTACAGTGTGTGATGACTGAACTACAGTGTAGTTAAGGTTAGGGAGAGATTGTGGAGACGGGTAATAAAAATGTAATTTGCAGGTGTGTGACAGGAGGTGAACTGTGGTCTCCTGCATGAGAGTAATGTGCCAGCACCTTGCTATATAAAGGGCTCAGTGCTCCATGCATTGGCATGATTTTGTCACAGACTGGTCTTATGTACAGTTTTTTTAATATGTTTTTTTGTCTGTCATTCCTATTACTCACGTTAAGATCTGTAGATGAAGCTTCATTATAGTTCAGTAGGGCGAGCAACACTTATTTGCAGGTGAAAACAAAAATGTATGTAAACCAAATCACTTTGTTTTGTAGCACCATATTCTACTTCAGTTTCGACTATTCCCACTCACATTAAGTAATGGGCATTTCAGCTTCAGCTTTTTGATTATAGATGCAATTAGTCTCTCACACTGCAGAGAATCAGTCATCCATTAACATTCAGTCGCAGTGTGAATAATGATTAGGCCAGGTTGTGTTTTTAAAACTATAAATGTGGTGATATTACTGTAAGCTATTAAGTATTGGTATGACATTTAATTTCTGAGCAAGAAGTATCTGCTTTACTTAGCGTTTAAGGAAAATATAGTGCACCATTTTATTGTTGTCTAATGCCCATTTCACTTACATTAATTATACATTACTGCATGATCCTAACATCGGAGATCAGACAGAGTAGAGTGGTTGTGTCTCTGCATCAACCTACAGTATGCGCTGTCACTGACCTTGCTGACAGTGTTTGTTTCCCTTTTTCCCGTGAGAAACTTTGAGTTGATCTGTGTGAGTGTCGGTCATCTCTGCCCGTCTCATCCTCGGCTGTCTTTCCCTTGACTTTCACTTCTCCTCTTAAGCTGTTCACACTAAACCACATGAGCAGACAGATGTACAGAGAGCAGAGTAAGGGATGTCAGGCAGACGGCCAGCCTCATGTGACTGTTCACATGGGTACAGGGCACATGGGTTCCTGGTATCTATTTATTCTTATGTCTCATTTGATATACAATTTATGGTCCTCTAGTGGACTTCAGCCTTTCAATGAAACTGAATTACCAAATGTTTTGTCCTTCAATGTTTTCAATGTCGGTAGAGATTGTTGATAGTGATAACTATCAAGTAAGTTAATGAAAGGCTCTGTAATCGTCCCTTTCAATAGTACTATACATGTTTAGTGATGATGTCCATTGACAAGGATTTAGTTAAAACCAACAATCCTACAGTGAAACATAAATCAGTTCTCACTCTAAAAGATATGTACACCAGGATCTCCATAACACACTGACACAGATGCATAAATCCACCTTTAGTGTGCTGGCTTGTCGTCAGCAAGATTTCACACCAGCAGCTTATAGCTACAATTTAATTCCTTATCTGTAGTCTGTCGTGCTCCTTCCTGATCCAAATGTAGGGTTGTCTCAGTTGCAGCCAGCGCTTGCACTGTGTTATCAGTCTAAAGTTTAATTAGTGATTTTACTTGCTAAAGCCTTTTTTCTCAAACTGAATAATTATCTTACAGAAAAGTGCTGAAAACATATTCTACATTAAAAGAAACTAATTTCACAGTAGGAAAGATTTCAAACTCTTAAAAAAATATATAGTAGACCCTTTTCCTGTTGTCAGAGAGAAAATAGGTGAGACACATGAAGAGAGAGATAGTGTGTAGTGAATCCTGCTGTTTATACAATCTGCACGTCACACCACTACACATGTACGTAAACTGTGTGTGTGTGTGTATGTGCGTGTGTCTGGAGAGGGGATTGCAAGCTGGTCTTACCAATGGCTTGGCGGAGCTCCTCCAGTGTTATTTATTATCACTGTCAAACTAACCCAACATACAGAAACCAGAACTGTCACACAAGCTATATTTTCTACTTTCTGGGGACATTTGGACGCACCAAGCTGGCAAACACAAGCACACACACAGCACACTGTCTCCCACCACCCATTCAGCCTCTGCTAATGGACTGCCTGCATGAAGTTAATGGTCCGAGCACAACTACTAAATTGTTAAATTCAAAACATGCTCTAGTTACAATGGGCCAGAAACTCAATTAATATTGGTGCCAGTAGAGTTGGAGTAAAGCACTATACACCATATCTGACACATCACAATCAAGCATTCGCTCAGTAGTTATCTATACACGCAGTGAAATGGGTCAAAAACAAACAGCTTAGTAAGATCACTTTTCCATAACTGCAATATTTTGTAACTCAGCAAATATATGACTGTAAAAGCTTTGGTTAAATGTTGAGATTTCAGTTGAGAATCATAATTTGTTGCAATAATATAAACAGTTTAAAGAAATTCACAAATTTGGTTTAGTGAGGCAAGTAAACGTAGCATAATCTATGTAAATGTAGCCGTATTTATCAATATGAAGTAAAACCAACCTAAGGCAGCACACAGAACATTGTAACACATCTTTATCTTTACATAATGTACTCATTGTGTTATAAGTGGGCCAGTATAACTGAGTCCCAGCTGGTATTTATGTGAATCACAAAACAAAAATGTGCAATATTACTTCCTGAAAATGTGACATGACCAAACCTTCACTCTC